AGTTATATGAGCCGTCGAACCTGGGCAGGTTCGTTCCCTATTTACGGGATTAACAAAATTTCTCCTGACCGTTATATGAAATGATATCTTATAATTTTACGGCGACGGTTATACCAGATGTTTTAGTTTAAAAAATTATCCATCCTCCGCCGCCTTAATTATTCACTTATAATTAAGATCAGTAATCAATATAAGAAATTTAAGCAATGATATGTATATGTAGATACTAATTATAATTACAAAGTAATAGTATATATGACATATATTTGAACAGAATTAACCAAAATATATTTCTTAAATAATACATGAATATCTAACACATAATTAGTAAAAGTTAATATATTTTTTTATGAGGTTACATATTAATAATATACATCATAGTTAATAATGAAATGAACGATCAAAATTGTTAGGAAAACTTGTTACTAAATTCAATAAATTAACTTTATCGTTAACCATAATTCTCAATATCAATTTTAAAATTATTGTACTGCAAAAATAATATAAAGCACAATATAATATTAATTCTGTGAAAGTCAATTTTAGTTCACAACTTTTACTGGTAAAATGCACAACTTTATTAATGGGCCTTATAAATGTATCATTTTTTATCTTTACAGAAGCTATTATTACCCGTGCAATGCTTTCCAAAAATACGGTAAGCGCTTTGTATATCAAAAAATGCCCGAGCCTCAAAAACATAAGTTTATTCATACCATTGAAAATGCTTATTGGTCTTGAATCAATTATGGATTCTATCCGTATTACTAATTTATAACCGTAGGTCGCGTGAGAAATTAAATCGGCGGTTGTCTGTACTTGCCATATTTCAGGTATTAGATGCATTTCCGTTATATTCTCTACAGACTGCATTAAGAGGTTGGTATAATAATCCAGCGTATTGTATCGCTGAACTCAATCAAATATTGAGTTTTGTCTATTTCCAAATTTAAAAACTTAATGGTATGTTTATTTAATTTTATGAGCGATAGCGCAGCGCGGATTTCAAGCCTAGACAGTGTTGTACTTTTAACGGAGCTTATCATAAATTTTGAATATAATAGGTGAATTGTAGGTTCTCTAACATAGTAAGCAGTCTTAATAGCTCTCATAGATTCACAAAACCCGAGAAATTTTATCCTACATTTTTCTCTCAAATGCCAAAAGTAACTGTAAATAACATTTCGTAGAATAATTATATTTTTTATAAGAAATATATTATTTTCAAAATCGCAGCAACGGGCCATGATGCATCTATATACCGTTTCGTTCCAAACTGTCACTAACTGACATATGTTTTGCGAAATTAGCTAAAGCTGCGCATGGCGAAAAAATACCGAAACTCATAGAAAATTTGGCAATAGACGAGAAAATAGCTTGATTTGTTATTCGGAATGATATTTTGCAGTTGATAGAAAAAACGCGAAATGCATAGATGACTGGCCATAGCAACCCCAAGAAATTTAATTTTTTTTTATTGTCGGTTACATAAAAATCATTGGATTCAAGATTTTCAACTGGTATTGAATCAAGGATACTAACTTCGTTGATAACCCATGGCAATTGGAAATTATCATGTTTACAAGTTCGACTTATTCTTTTCCTAAACCCTTTTGTCTTTTCCAATAAATTTGACTCAAAATAATATCAGCTTCGTAAAAATGATTTTCAAGAGGGTATGAAACTAAAGAATAATTTTTTCCTACATAAAATACGAGTTGATTCAAGTATCGTTTAGCTAAAAAATGTGCAGAAGTAGATTTGCAAGTTACCATTTTTAATTTAAAACGTTTAATTTTGTCATCGGCCTTTTTTTGCCATTGAATTTCTATTAAATTGGGATGTTTTTTCGTAACAAGAATTTGTTTTACTACACCGGTAAACACAAAACTACAAGATTTAAAACGCTCTAAACTGATAAAAATGACTTGTTGTAGTTTGCGACTTACATAATTAATATCATTCAGAAAAATGCCCGATGATATTTTTAGATACGCATCAAATACTACTCGAATTCTGGCACTTCCATTCACAAAAACGGCACGACTGGGCAAGTAATATACAAATGAATTTAGTGCAATATTCTGTTCATATTTTTGAATTTTAGAAGCTCGTTCTAAATTAATAGATTCGTAAATTCTTTGTACTTCGTTTGCAAACCCGTGTAATTGTTTAAGTGAGTTTCCAGACTTACAAATCTGCGGTTCGCTTGATATAATGATTTGTCTAGAGTTATATTTAAACGAAGCTTTAACGGTAACGCGACCCTATATCGATCATTTAATTTTTCTACACAATTGTTATTACCTTTCTCCGGAATTTCCGCGCGACTAAGCTCTCCCGACTCGCAAAATTTCGATACCTTGTTCAATAAAATATTGTTTACTGTAAACACCCTTTTTAACACATTCCCATTGTACGCGTTAATCTCGCCTGACAAAAATAACCCAAACACTGAGTCTCGCAATACCGGTAAATTTTGGCCTAAAGAAATATTTCTGCCTTTTATTATCTTAAAGAACGAGCCCACACCGATTAGCAAGTCAATATCGCCAGGTACATTAAAATTTGGATCCGAAAGTGTAATGTTATAAGGTAAATTTAAAAGCGAAGGATCGATATATTGCGACGGGACCTTATTTGTGATTCTTTCTAATATAATAAAAGGTAATCGTTTGGAACATGTTGATGTCGCATTTGAAACTGATATATAGACAATGGAATTGCCATGAATATTTATGCCATTGACCCCAGCCAGCTGTACAGTATTAGGAACCGAATCTAAATTTAAGGATTTTACCAAATTTTGACTAATAATATTAATTTCTGAATCCGTATCTAGCAGACATCGAGTACGAATTTCCTCGCCCCTTCTGTTTTTAAGATATATACAAACTGTCGGTAAAAATGCGCACGAGTTTGACAATGTTGCATGTAAAACCTGTGAGGCAGGTAAAGCTGCAGAGGACGTTTCGGAAATTTGTATAGCGTTAGGTTTAGTTTGTAAAATTTGTACTGCTTGTGAGTGCAATAAAGTGTGGTGCGATTTATTACACATTTTGCATTTATGTTTTGATCTGCATAATCGGATTGTATGTCCGTCACCCAAACATTTATTATAACCCGTTATTATCGCGAATAAAGTCTATTCTTTTTGGTATTTCCATTTTAATGAATTTCGTACATTCGGAAATATGATGTGCGGCTGAACAAAGTTCACAAACTGCCTGAATATTTGAAACCGTAAGTAAAGTCTTACGCTTGATATAATTGTCCGGTTCTGTGTCCAGCTTATTTGAAAGCTCTAAGGCCAAACAACGATTTTCTAAAAATTTAAATAACTCCGACATAGAGTGCATTTCCTTTTGTGCTCGAACGGTATTAAACTTTATTTTAGTTTCTGAATCTAATTTATTCAATAATAAAAAGGCCATTAAAAGGTCCCAATTTTCAACTCTTATGCCCAATGCTTTAAGAGAATTTACATTTTGCTGCGCAATATTCAAAAAAGATTTTAATACTTTGTATGTACCTTTCGAACACGTTGGAATATCCATGATCTTTTGTAAATGCGAATAGGCAATTATACACGTGTTCTCGAGCTTAGCCGATAATAAATCCCATGCTTCGGAATAATTATTATCAGTGAGGGCTATATTATTAATTACAGCTGCAGCTTCGCCAGACACATGACATTTCAAATAGTACAGTTTTTCAACATCCGATAAATTAACATTTTTGTGGATTGTGGATATAAATAAATCTCTAAAACTAATCCAATTGTTATATGTAGCTGAAGTAGTTTTATAGCTGAATTAATGTAATTTTTACTATTATTTTCTTTACTATTTGAATTGTCGATGTGATGTGTAAATTTAATAGTTAGTTTTAGATAAAGATTATCGATTAAAATGTCTTCATCCTGCTCATCAAGCGAATCGAAGATGGCTGCTCTAACTTTTTCATACTCCGCGAATCTGTTATCAAACATAATTTTCAGACCCTTAAGCATTTCCGATGAATGTTCGTCCCAACTATCACTGTTCATTCTTTCAAGATACGATTTGAAATTTTGACGCCTTTTAATGAGTTTTTTAAGTTCTGCCATTTTAATTGTCATTAGAACTTAATAAGTTTAATTAAATATAAGATATTTTTGATAATAAAGCGCAAAACGTTACAAAATATAATATGTAATAGGTGTTAGGCTATGCGAACGGAGTAATGCAGCGGAATGAATATAAATTAATAAATCTCAAATTAATTAACAATTCTAATGTAATGTTATTAGAATTGGAGTCTAATATAGCAATGATATAAATATGTGTTGTAAATAATTTAACAATTAGATAATCCAATAATAATTTATAATATTTAATATAATATTTCATAAGATTTAGCTCAAAAGACTAAGGCAAGTGGTCCAAAATCAAGAGGCAAGATCCAATTTCAATTAAAATTCTGTCCAGATTTATAAAATGAAATAAAATTATAGCTTATCTGGTATTCTGTTGATTTGACGGGAAGCGTGGCGGTATCTTCGAGGGGACCCAAAACTCGTATTGGAGAAGTCACTATAACTCGGATGGTGCTTCACGTTCCTGGTGAATGCCTCAAAATAGTAGGCTGGTTGCTTCCGGCGTCGCTATCGGATCAGTATTGGATTCCGGCGGTGCTTCGAATCAGTAGTGGGTTCGAGCAAATGCACTAAAAGCGTCCTTTGATTCACCGTAAATTACACGTCAATTTACATAAACAATAACTTTATTAATGCTTAAATCACTGCTGTTTAAAACAACGTTATTTATCAGGTGTATTTGTAAACTGAAATTTGAATACTTTTTACAGTTTCACTTTCACAATCACTATTAATTTAATATCAGTTATTTTGATACGTTTATTATTAGTATTAGCTTTTGTCTTGATAACTGGTCCGTCAAAAGCTCAAATGCGTGGCTCAAAACGTTGATTAAAATCAACTTTAAATATCTGGGTCGAAGATGACCAAATGGAGCGATTTACATGACGTCGATGCTGATATGCTTCTTGAGTGGACTGTAATTTTTATAATCGGCGAAATGTGAAATCCCCAGGATGATTGTTTCAGAAAATGAAAGTCCTGTTATATTCACTTTAAATTTAATTATTTCTACTTCACAAATACGTCCTTCTTCTTTGACTGCTAATACTAGAATAAATATTTATTTGAATTTCAGGCCCGACGGAATACATTTTATTGACTTATTTTATAACCTAGTTATATGAGCCGTCGAACCTAGGCAGGATCGTTCCCTATTTACGGGATTAACAAAATTTCTCCTGACCGTTATATGAAATGATATCTTATAATTTTACGGAGACGGTTATACCAGATGTTTTAGTGTAAAAAATTATCCAGTCTCTGTGATATAAAATTGTAGCAACATCAAAATTGAAAATATGATTGAAACTTTGGATGTGGTCAGTTATCATCGTTTGATTTTGATTTTTATTAACTTCCCGAAGGAGAAGTTTATATTTTTATAAAAAAATCCGAATCGCTAATTTTATGTTTTCTCGACGTTTCAAGCCATTCTGAATCGAATGAGACCAAATGTGGAAAAAGTATGTGTGTGTGTGTGTGTGAACAGATTTTTTGCCGTAAATCGACGTTTTCTCGAAAACGGCTGGACCGATTTCAAAAATTTAAAAGCCGCTCGATGTATCTCGATGCGGACTATTGTTTGTCAGTTTTGTGCGACGTTCGACCAAGCCGATTTTTTATAAATCGCCAAAAAGTGAAAACTTTTTCGTCTACGTTTTAGCCCGCAATTCTAAATCGATTTTGAAAATTCAAAAACCGTTCGAAAGATATTGGTTGGGAATCGTGCTGATTAGTTTTTGGTAGAGATCGGTCGGACCGTTTTCTTGTAATAAAGTTTAAAAAAAAAATTGACGATTTTTATGATTATTTTTTTGACGGTAGATACCATAGTCTTCTAGATCATACTAAAATATTACGGTCCTACAACAACTCGTTTAGCTTTAAAAATTCGTCAAAGTTTGAAAAAATTAGTATGATCTTTTTGGCATTTGTCAAAATTAGAACTTTCATCAACGTTTGCTCAAACACGCCTGAACCGATTTCAGATATTTAAAAAGCATTTGATGTATCTCGATGAGGATTATCGTTTCTCAGTTTTGTACGACGATCGGCAGAGCCGTTTCTTTGTGATTTAGAAAAAAGTGTTAAACCTTTCGTCCACATTTGAGCTCATACTACCGAACCGATTTTAATAAATCAAAAACTGTTCTAAAGATATTAGTTGGGAATGATACTGATTAGTTTTATGTGAAAATCTATCGAGCCGTTTTTTTGTAATTAACTGTTTAAAAAAATTAAGCCGTTTTTCATGGAACTTTTTTTGACGATATATACCATGGTCTTGTACAACTTACTAAAATATTGCGACCTTACGACAAGTAGTTTAATTTTAAAAATTCATCAAAGTTTGAGAAAATGAGTGGTTTTTTGACGTTTGTTAAAAAAAATTAGATGATTTAGTTGGTATAACGTTAGTGTACTTGGTCTTGAACATACTAAACCATTAAAGTCCTACGGAAACTGGTTCAATTATAAAAATTGTTGATTTTTGAAAATTTGCTTTTAGAAAATACTCCGAGTTAACGTGTTCGTTTGTTCGTTTGCAATGATGTGTAATAAATCCACTCGGAATACTTATAATCACTCATAAATTAATTTATTTTTTATTGATTAAGTCGATTATTTACACATTTCGGGAAGTTCATGTAACTTGCCTCAAGGCAAAATACCAATACCTACTAGTTTTTACAGTTGTTATAATGTTATCTAAGACGTTTTTTTAGATGTTGGCGAAACTGTACAACATCTAAAAAAACTTCTTTGACAACATTATAACAACTCTTTATTACCTTTTTTTATTTAAATTCCTTCTTTTATAAAAAATAAATAATAAAATATTATCTGAGGCAAGCACTTATCCGAGACAAGTTTGATTTCTTCAAACTAGCCTCGGGAAGAATCAAACTTGCCTCGGAAGAGCGCTTGCCTCTGATATCGGTTGAGCGCTTGCCTCGGACAAGAACTATCACCTTATACTCCAGTCATTGGAGCATTTTGGATCTGATTTTTTTTTCTGTGCTCCAATTTGCATAAAATTTTGGAATTAGGTTCATCTTACCAAGTTCAAAAGTGAAAACAATTTGAACTCCGTCACCACCCCCGGGGAGGGAGTAACACCCCTTCTCAGTTGTGAAATTTCATTTTTTCAAAATAACGTCAGATATCAATAGAAGTACTAATTATAAGAAAAAAACTGTCTATTAAAGTTTTTCAAAAAAACTAATACTTTTCAAGTTACTGGCCACTTAAAATTCATATATGTTTGGCGTTTTTCTTCGTTTTTCTGCAAATATCTCCTAAAATATACATTTTAACAAACTTCATCTAATGAACCAAATAATGTCAATAAAAATCCTAATAAATCGGTGTTTTATAAAGTGTTCTAGCAATAATATTAAGCTAGATTTGAGAGCAAAGTTGTTTTTCATTTCGTTCAAGATTTAATTGTTGTATTTGAAGCCATCTAGCGGCGAGTTTTTACATTTTATGCATTTCAGTAAAATTGGGTTTTATAGTGCTCAACATAAGCTTTAAAATCAGTGCTTTTATAAGTTTTTTTGCGTGTGAGCTATCATGCATTTTTTTTTATTTAAATCATATGGTTTCATGAGCACCGTTTTCACCAAAATCAAAATTATTCACATTCTATCTAGAATTAACTTCATTACAGACATCTTGATAGATTCTAGCAGATTCATTACTTTAGTACAAACTATTTTCAAAAAACTCACGATTTCATGAAAATAATTTATTTAGATTTTTTTAAAAATCAAATTTATTTTCATTATATCTCAAAAAAGTAAAAGATTCGTATAAAGGTATATAGATAAAAATCAAAGGGGTCTTTCTAGCTCATCATTGTTTTTTATTATTTTTGTTTCACATAAAAATTGTCATAGTTATGATTGTTTAAATAGTGCGCGGCTGCGCAATCTCGAGCCCTTTATCCCTTTGCCGGTTTAAAATGAGAAGAGTTAAGCAAAAATTTGTAATCAAAATAGCTGTAGCCCTAAATTACCTTTCAAATGAGATACTACTAATTTTTATGTTATGACCCAAAAACTAATCGCATTTTTGTCGAATTGTGTCCATATTTCGAGCAATGTGAAATTAAGCAGTATTTGGTGACCAAAACTATTGACTAAATATATATTGACTATTGACGAAATTTTGACACGATATTGAAGAACCATGTTTTAGTCTCGTTCAGGGCCGTATTTTCAAAACGTTTGTTTATAACTTTGTCGTTATGTAATTGTAAAAACAACTCCTCAGCGAATGTTCTGTTAATTACGTTCTCTTCAAAATGTAAAATTTTCGGGTTGAAAAAATCTATATTATGGTTTAGTTTAATATGCTCAGTTAGCATGATCTTAAATTGCTTCCGGTTTTTTGAGTTATTTTTATGTTGATGAATGCGTTTACTCAGGTTTTGGCTAGTTTCTCCGATATAAAAAAGTTCGCAATTAGAGCAATTAATCTGATATACCAAGCTCCTTAGGCGATCAGAATTAAACTTAGATTTAATTTGTGTAAAAATTGAACAAGGGTTGTATCGCAATTATATACCAACAAAATGCCACATTGTTGAAACAGTTTTTTCCACGAAAAATATAAATCTTTTACGTACGGTAGGCAAATGACACCAGTATATGACTCCAAGTCTAAACGGTTTTTATGGTCGATGAGGTCGTTTTGTTTGTTGAAAATGTAACTGCGTCTGTTATTTATGACTGAGTTAGTTATGTTTGTAGGATAAGAGTTAGTTTTTAGTGTGCTTATTACCAGGTCAATGTTGGTGTCCCAGAAAATTTTGTCAGATAGTAGTATGGCGTGGTCTTTTAAATTTATTATTGTTGCTATTTTCATTTTAAGAGGGTGGTATGAGTGGTAATTTATGTATCGTCCGGAGCTAGTTGGTTTCTGGTACCAGTTAGTAATTAGTCGGTGGTCATTTGTACGTAAGAATCTGAAAAACTTGAACCGTAATCATTAAGTCGAAAGACCAAAAGACTTTGATTGGATTATACCATGTTTTCCTTAGAAAGTGTATAAAACTTCAAGTTTGATTGTGTTGACAAAATTAATGGGATTTATTGTTTTTATAATACCTAAAACTGGCATTTTGTCAAAAGTCCAAAATAACACGGCATGTACATGCACCTCACGGAACATTTTCCTTGCCAACAGCAAGATTTGAACATGTACACATCGATATAATTGGTCCTTTACCTCCTATTAACTCCTATAAATATTGTTTGACAGCCATTGATCGATTTACCAAATGGCCAGAAGTATACCCACTACAAGGAATATCTGCAGAAGAAGTAGCGGTTGGATTTTTATCATGCTGGATATCCCGCCTCGGAGCTCCAGTCAAAATAACGACGGATCGAGGTATTTAATTTGAATCTGAATTATTTAGATCATTAAACAAATTGACAGGTACCATTAGGATCAGGACTTGCAGCTATCATCCATGTTCCAACGGACTAATAGAACGCTTCCATCGACAACTCAAGGCTGCGATAATGTGTTACAAAGACAACACATGGTTGGAAGCGCTTCCGCTAATTCTATTAGGCATTCGAAATGCTTACAAACCAGATATCAAGACATCGGCAGCTGAAATGGTGTATGGTGAACAACTCCTCCTTCCTGAAGAGATTTTTGAATTACATAAAAATCCTCAAAATTTAAGACATCCGGCTGATCTACTCTCGAGACTTCGACAACACGTAGCGCATCTTCAACCAAGTGAATCCAGTAACCACACAAACAATAAACCATTTATTTTTCAGGACCTACAAACATGCACGCATATTTTCCTCCGCGACGATACTATCAGGAAGTCACTCCAACAACCATATCAAGGTCCATACGAAGTTCTCAAGAGAGATGATAAAACAGTAACCATACGAACACAGAAAGGCAGTACACGTGTGTCCATCGATCGCATCAATCCAGCCCACATCATCGCAGATCCAATAGACCAAACAATCATCACCAAAGCAGAGAACAACTATTTCACTCGATCAGACCGAAAAGTTCATTTTCGAATACCATGACCTCCAGTCTCCGCGGGGGGCTCCTGTGGGAACCATCTGTATAAGAGGTTTGACAACTGATGGCGTCACCAGTTATGCCTCAACTTCAATTGTGTCACCGCTTGTGGGACTCGCCTACGTTGCACCAGATGGCACCACGATATAACCTTTAGACATCCCCACTCCTTGTTGCTGAAGGTATTTAACACATAGCGCAACACAGACAAACTCTCTTTTACCTCAACCATTCAAGGAGTCAACGACTGCTGACCTGGGACCACGGACAGTAGCCAGCCAGAAGAAGAAAGCAAATTATAATTTCAATGTGAATATATCTTATATAAAAAATAATATTTTATTATAATATCTGAGTTATTCAATTGGAAATATATGTGGAAGATACCCACACCTTAATCCAAATTGCTGGAACTTTACGCACCGTAATTAAAAATTCGAGTAATAACATTAGTGAGAATTATCAGAATTATGCTTGGTCAAGTCAACGAGCAATTCTTGCCGCAAAGAATAATAATATACACGCACTGAATTTCACCATTTAATCAAAAATTACTGGCGATTTAGTGACATACCAATGATACTGACTGGTCTTCCGTTTGACTTCAAACGATTGGAATTTGCAGTTCGTCTTGCGTTCGCAATGACAATTAAAAAGTCGCAAGGCCAATCGCTTAGTGTTTGCGCGATAAATTTCAAATAGATTATTTAGAAAATCATTGTTTTTCACATGGGCAGTTATACGTTTCCGGCTCACGAGTTGGGAAACCATCCGCTTCGTTTGTGTTAACGTCAGACCAAAAAACAAAAAATGTGGTTTACCAAAGAGCACTTCAATGAAACGGATAATTTGCGGATTCACTTTCATTTACCTAGAGAAGTTCGACTAAAAAATACTTCATTTTTGTAATCGAAATAAATTCATTACTGTTGTGTAATAAAATCAAATTTTTTCTTTTCAAATATAAAACAAACAAAAAATTTCTTCATCTTTCTCACGAAACCATCAGCCATCTGGTGGCGAAACGGAGTTCGTCGGGTTTGCTTATATATATATATATATATATATATATATATATATATATATATATATATGCTTATGTGGAGAGCATTTCCATAAATAACTTGGTATATTTAATTAAAACTCAATACTATGTAATTTAACGATGATTTTATTAGGTATCGATTATTAGAGATAATTTTTATACACTTTTTGTTTCTGTATAACAAATGTCATGGCACACTTAATCCAACTTGGAGCTAATTTGCTCCATACTGCGGCTCCAAACGTTAGCGTAAATTCTATGAAGTAATTAGTAATTGAATAGTAATGACGACTTATTGAATGTAATCGGGTACACTTTCATAATTGGTATAATATATAAACTCTTTGAAATTTTTAACTTCCCGTAGAGTAAGTTATAGTAATCGCAAAATATCGAAAATGAAATTTCTTTCGTGGACGATTTCGGGAACAAGGTTCAACCGATTTCAATTAATCAAAAAACATTCCATTATAATGTTTGTTCGATTATAATGTCTTTTGATAAGGAGACGAGTAGGTGATAAGGCAGGTATAGCCGTTTCGAAGATACGGGGGCAAAAAGTGCCAAAAACGGTAACTCAGTTTTTAAGAGAACGGAGTATCCGATTTTAATAATTCAAAAAACGTTTTACTTGTATGGACATGATAAACAATTCATTAAATTTTCATGAAGGCAGGTCTAGCGGGTTCGGAGATCTAGTAAAAAAATTTAAAAATGCCATTTGGCGGTCAAAAATTAGCATTAGGCATATGCACATCAAATTATCAGATATTTTATAGAGATTTTAACTATAAGTATAAATTTTGTTTATATTCCTATGGGTTCCGTACCAATGTTTATCCGTTAGACGGCGACGCAGCGCTTACTCGCTTCGATATGGCGTCTCTATGCAGCTGTTTTGAAATTTGAAAAACAGTTCAAAATCTCCAAAATATTTCAAACTAAAAAAATACAACTTTTTTCCAAAAATGTAATTTATTTCAAAAATTTATAGTTTCTCAAAAATCTAATTTTTTCAAAGTATTTTTTTATTCAAAAATGTTAAACTTTTTGGTACGGGAAGTTAGAGCAATTTGCCTTAAGGCACGATGCCATGAGCGCCACTAGTTACTCTTGGTGCTCTGATTCCATCGTATGTTCCTGTGTTGTGAAGTCCTATTTTTCGCATAGCTTTCCTACTGGATTAATTCTATTTTGCGATAGCTCGCACATCAATTGTGATTGTGTCACTGTTTGAATTTATAACATAATTTATAATTGTGAATTACTTCTTTCTTTTCTTCTTATTGGTCAGTAACTTGATGATTAGCTGGTAAAATTATGGGGTGCATCTGATTATGTAAAGTATTTGCGTTTAGCAGCCTTTCGCCCGCTCTTAATAATGATTTTTTGAACACAATGAAATAATTGCGCTTACTTGTCACTTTATTCAATTCTTTATTGTAAATCTTTCTTTGTATTTGACGTATGATCAGATATCGTGGCTCATTTAATTGATTTTTCAAGCGGACTTTTTTCTTATTATTTTTCTTTATAGTTAATCAATATTTGTAATTAACTTTTTGAATAATTTTGTGTTGGAATAACTCCTCCATCTTCAACTTCAATTCTGATTTAATTTTATTCTGTTTTTCAGCTCTGATTTTGCGTTCTTCCTTTTTGCGATTATACCAAGCTCTATATGTATGGCGGGATTAGCTCATGAGTAGCGTTCCCGACTCACACGCTGGAATGGTTTGGAGTTCGAATCTTTGGCAAAAGTAGAAATACTGTTAAAAATAGTTTGAAACAATGTTAAAAATAGTTTGAAATAGTATTAAAAATAGTTCAATCGTGTATAAAAAGAGACTTGAAAATAAAAATTAAATTAAATGGAAGTAAGAATAGAAGTAATGCAGATGTAAGAAGATAGAAATGATAGATAGTAAAAAAGGAAAAGAATAAAAAAAGCTCTATATGCAGCCTTTCTTGCTTCTTGTTTAGCTTGTCTATCTTTTTTTAATTCCATATTATTGTCTGACCATTTGCCTGATATAAAATAACATTTTTTTTTTGATATATTATTCATAGCAATCTATACAAAGTACATTCAGCTACATTAGTTACAGTTATATATTATTTGTCTGCGTGAGAAGGATCGCTATCCTGCGATAGCGCCTTCATAGAAGTTATGTTATATTTTGTAGTAAATCATCGCAGATTCTTTTTTTGAAAATATAAAACAACATGCCGCTAAAAAATTATTAGTATCTACATCTGAGATTATGTCATTTACATAACAATCATATTGTGAAATGTTAGATAGCGCTGGATATTTCTTACTGTGCTCTAATGCTAGTTTATCTTCCAATGAAGTTTTTTCTTGGCGAGCTATATATAAATTTTGTATTGTATTTTTGAGATTCTAGTAATGCTATTTAATTTATTTGTGTCTCGAAGAATTCTGATTCCACTGATTTGCTGTTTTTTTCTGTATTAGGAACTTTTTCTTCTTCTAATTTTGCAACCCTGTTGTAGAGTTCGAATACTTTCTGGTTTAGCTTAACTACAGTTTGATGGACATACAAAATCTTTCCAAATAAGTACACCTGTTTCTGAAGATACTTAATTTATTTTCCAGTGTCAGCTGTAGTTTCACATAATAACTGTTGTAGTTTCATTATATCTTTATTCTCATCATGAGATTTTATCTCCTCCTCCAATTTTGCAATAGTTTCTGGTAATAATATTTTTTCTTGGCATTTACTTTCCAAGTGAGTTTTTATTTCCTAACTTCCTTACAACTAAAAATTTTTGTATTATTATGTTGATTATGAAGTGTATCTATCTTCATGGTACAGAATTTGCGCGGGCGATTTATTCTTATAGTAAATAGTGCAGTAAACGGAGAGGAAAAAAGGGTTAACCTCTGAATTTTTTTACTGTGCTCCGAATTGCATGAAATTTTGGAATTAGGTTCATTTTAACCTCAAGTTTAAAAGTGAAAACAATTCGGGTTTCGCCACCACCCCCTTGGGGGGTTGCGACCCCTTAATAAATAAGTGGACATTGAGTCGTTTTATCGCTAATAAATTTTTTAATATTATAGGATATAATTAAAAAAAATTTAATACATTTACCTTGCGATAAAATAATTTTCAACCCCGCGAAGACCCTAAAGCCCTTCAAACAACTAAATTGAAAAAAAAAAACACTTAAAAATAAATTTCGGTATGATATATTAAGAATTACGTATAAAGTAAATAATATTTTATGTTTTCTATCTTGATTATCAAATCTTTAATCCATTTTTAGACCCTTAAAACAAATCTTTGATGAATACACAAATTGAAAAATTATTTAATGAAACCATAGGTAATCATAATTTATTTCAAACTGAAACAACATTTACTACTCAATGTCGGAGTTGCTGTTATCATCACTATCTTCTTCTGGCTGTATTGGAGGGCTATTCTGGCAGTTAACACGTAGACCTTTCAGCCATAAAATACTTTACTATAAGAATAAATCGCTTGTCAAAATTCTGTATCATGAAGATAGATACATTTCATGATGAACATAATAATACAAAATTTTGTGGTCGGCCCCCCCGAGATATACGCTAGACCAATTAATTCATTTTATTTCAAAATATACGTTTTTATTATAAATACACATAAGCATATTTAAGTCAATAGTTTTGGGCACTAAATACTGCTTACTTACACATTGTTCGAAATATAGACACAATTCAATAAAAATGCTATTAGTTTTCGGATCATAACTCCTTTAATTTAGACTCCATTACAAATTGTAATATACCATTTGAAAGATTAATAAAGGCTACAACTTTTTTCATCATTTTTTTTTCGTAACTCCTCTCATTTTGAAATGGCGAACGGTTAAAGAGTTCGAGAGAGACTCTGATTGCGCGGACGCGCACTCTTTAAACAACCATACTTCTGTCATTTTTTGTATGAA